TGAGTGTGTTTCAAGAGCATATTTGTTAATCAGGTCATAAATCCGAGCCAAGTGTACCAAAGGCATAGTTTGGTTAAATGTCAATGAAGGAGGGTTAGAGTCAATCCAGTTGATGATCAGAGACCGGATATATTAACCAAGCTCTTCCTTCTAACGACTTAAAAGTTTCCTTTAGATCTTTCCTTTGGAGTTTGAATTTTTTCTCAATTTTTACTCAGTTTTTTCCCCCAAAGCTAAATGTTATCTGAAGAAAATTCCCAAAAGCTCACTCAGAGTTTTTAGAGCAGAACAAAGTACATGTTTCACACTTTCAAAGAAAATATTCAGACTTGGTTACAGTTGAATAACTTCAAAATGGCTTCATTTTAAAACCTAGGAGAGAGAGAAGTATCCAAAGGAAATGCACAGTCTAGACTACTTGTTTTCAGACAGTTCAGAGTCAAACGAAGAATACAGAAACTCTGAATTACTGGGAAAGGATCTCTGGCCGGTTTACTGTCATCTACAGTAATAATAGGAGCTTAGAGGTAGTGGAGAGGATTTACTCCAATTTCCTCTTGAAAGGGCAGGATTTTCATTCCACTTCCGTGTACTTGTCTGCCTCACAGCTTCTCTTGCCTTTTCTCCAGGTTTGAGTCTAGTTTCTAGAGGACACGGGGGTGACGGTGGGGGGAGGGGAGGGGAGGGAAGAAAGCTGGTCCAGAGGGAGGCAATCTGGTCCTGGGTGAAGGATAAATGTTTATGGGAACTGATGCTGGGAATCCATCTTAGTCTGTGGAGGGCCCGGGATAAGACAGAGATCTAGTTTGATATTTTAATACAACTACAGTATAATTTATCATGACTAGTTCAAGAAAATTGGTTCATTAGGAGCTTACATTCAAAAAGGAAGCAGAGGGGAAAAAAGCTCTCAGGCTTCGAGAGTCTATAAAGAAGTTGGTCAGGAAGACAGTCCCTGAGACAAGGTTAGAGAAAGTACTTGTACGGGGGCTGAGATAATCATGAAACAGAATAACAGACAAATAAAGATGAAAAGGTAGTGTTTGGAGACAGACAGACAGACACACATACACACACAGATTCGGAAAAACTGAAATATGCCATGTGAATGCCTCATTGTGTGCTCTGGGCTTTCACGGCACTGAAATAATCTACCCATGAAAGAATCACAGCATTAAGAGTTGGCTTCACGCTGGTGCATTTCCACAGGGAAAATAAGAAAGCAAAGGGAACACACCCCAGCGGCTCTCTGTAGCCCTGCCAATTCCGGCCCACGACTTGATCGTATGTTTCCTTCTCTGGAGAAAAAGAAATACGATCATTCCCTAAACCACAGGATGGCTGAGGATCTAGACAGATAAAAGCAGACCTATGTAAAATTGGGAAGATGGATTCGGAAAGGTTTAGAAATATCAGAAGCAAAAGCAAAAGGAATAATCTCAGCTACTTCCCTGAGCTGCCTTGGCTTGTGCTGTGCAGTGCATTTTCCAAGTTCTCCAGGACAGAAAGAGGCTGTCAGAATCCATATCCAGGTTTTTCTCACAAATATATACAGACAAAGGCACAACAGAGTCTGCTTTGGATTAAAATTACGAACATCAAAGATTAAAACCAAGAACAAAATGTCTCAGTTTTCTTCAGTTTTGTCTCACCGAAACTAGAAAATTGGGAAAGCTCAAGTCTGTAGTTCTGAATTCCTTAATGACTTAAAAAGTTGGAAAAGCAATGACAATTTTTATATAATTAGTACATCTGAAATAAAAAAGAAGATATTGCAACTGCATCCAATATTAACAAATATTTTTGATGGTGTTTCCTAATTACTAACAGGGGTGGCTGTGGCTAACATGAATGAAGTCATCAATGAGCAGCATTTTTCTTATTATGCTTAAATACTTAAGATCATCTCCAATACCACCACCAGGCTTGACTTGAGGGCTGAGAAAAGAACACCATATACCTTGACTTTTACATCGCAGAATTATAACCTTAGTTTCCAAACATTCACAAGTGACCGGGCAGTGACCTAATGAAATATCTTTATTATTCTAGCCTGCAGTTATGCAAAATGAGCATAATGCATTACCATAGGAACTGAAGGAAGTAGACACAAGTATTAGATGTACTTAGTACCTATGCATTGAACAGTAAGTTTCTGTGGAGACTTCAAGATATCTCAAAACAATGTCGCTTTCTAATTAGTATAACATACTTTTGGGCTGGCCCCATGGCATAGTAGTTGAAGAAGCAGAATCGCACACTACCAAAAATGCACAGCTGGAGTCCCAGACTCAGCAGTTTGAAAGACAAGCTGGGCACATGTATGTGCATGCCCAGAATCCCAAGGAGATGGAGAAGGAATGGTGGCTGTGACCAGGTCCTGCATGTGTGTGTGGGGGTGCCTTCTCCCTTTCTCTCTCTCTCTGGCAAAGTATATGTGCTCTCTGGCAAATGAAATTATATATATACTTTTATATAAAAATTGAATCTCTACTTGCAATGTTCACGTGAAAAGTGGGACAAATGTTCTATAATGTCCAGATAACAAAAGAAATAGGTTTATGTGCTATGAGTTTATAGCAAATGAGTTGCCTGACAAATCTGTTTTCTTTCCTATTCTGCTAATTTCACTTATTTATTTATTACAATTTTTGATGTACATGTTATCAGTGTACATCTTTTTGGAGCATTGGATGATATTTAAAAACATATATATAGTGTATGATAATCACATCAAAGATATTAACAATCCACCATGTACAATTTTTTTTAATTGCCAGAGGGCATGTGCACTTGCCCGAGACAGAGAGAGAGAGGGGAAGGAGAAAGCACTCCCCAGTGGGGCATGATCACACTGCAATCCTCTTCTTCATTTCTCCCAATCTCATTGGGATTTTGGGCATGCATGCACATATGCCCAGTGTTCTTTTTTTTTTTTTTTTTTTTTGGAGGTTTTTTTGTTATGGGGTGCGTGCACTAGCCAGAAAGACAAAGAGAAAGACAGAAAGTGAGAAATCACCCCCCAGGAGGGGATGGCCATGCAATCCCTTCTCCTCCATTCTCCTCTTGGGATCTTGGGCACGCACGCACGCACATGTGCCCGGCGTGAGTTTACGTCGCCAGGTCCAGGACTCGAACCACAGTCGACTACATGAGAGTTCAGCGACATAGCCATTATGTTAACTGCTGGTCCCCCCAGTGTGTTTTTCAAGCGACTTGGGCCACCATTTGAACCAGGGTCAACCATGTGGATCCAGTTTCTTTAACCACTAGGCTACATACAAGGTCAGCCCCATTTTCAACACTTAATATTACAGTATGTTGCATACATTTGAGATCTGTTCTATTTTTATTTGGAGATATAATAATTGGGTTGTTGGAAAAGTCATGATGCATTTTTGCATAGGAAAAGAGAAAAAATTTGTCTTGACTTTTTCGGCAGCCCAATAAATTGTCAATGACTATTCTGCTCATTTTAAAGTGGTGTACTGATTAGCATTAAATCGCAACATATAATTTCTTTATAGATATAATGCATTTATCCCTTATAAGATGTGTATTGATAATAATCTTTTTCTAGCTAGAATGTTTACAATAAGAAATAAAATTTCAATGCGCTTCTGTCTTCTGTGTAGTTGATAAATGTGAATTTTATTTTATTGGAGCGCAAACGAAGAAGAGAAATGGTGACAAAGACTTTTCTTCCCCACAATGCCTTAATCTGACAAGAAGTCGATTTCTTTTATTTTAGCATTCCTTTGGTATTTTTCTCTACAGCTACAGGGGGCAAGTGGCTGATAAACAAGCTTCATTTTTTTTTTTTTTTAAGCTCACTGGTGAACTCTAAAGCCCATATACGTGCAACCTGGGAAGATTCTAGAATGTATGGATCGGTAACTGTCAGCAGTGAGACATAGGTTCACGGAAACTTTATCCATCCTACACACACAAAATGCTATAAAGGACTGACATGCATTTTAATAGATACTAATACTTGCAGAAAAACAAAATATTCAAAAGAACCAAGAAGCCAGGAATTCTTGTATAACTAAAACATGTACAGTATTTCATAGTGGTACAGTATATTTCAACATGCCAGATCTTATTTTAATCAGCTACTATGGATACCTCACTCCATTTTCAATATTTTCTTCCCTATTAGAAGGATACTTTTTATTGGCTTATCAGTCTGCAATTTCTGCCTCTTACAGGGTATCTATGGCATCTTTTCCACTCCCCCAACACACACACACACTCCAGTTCAATGACACAGTTCTCTATACCCCTTAATTATCCTCTGTAATCAACTGTGACTCATCCTCAAGCCTTTACCATCCCCAAAATCTGTATTTACACCTGTTAAGTTTCCCCATAATGGGGAGATCACAATGCTGACTCCGTTTTCCAGACAGGCATATTATGGACGCTTCTTCAATCACTCACTATTAGTAGAGACAAAAGTATGTCATGGTCTATAGAATTCTATGAGCAGAAAGACCACATCGCCAGAACCCTTCACGGCTGTGCAATGAACTGATTTAGAGCCCAGCTGCAAAGTCATTCACATTTGCCAAGAAAGGTTCTGAGTACTCTTCGGGACCCACCCATCACACAAACAGCGATTTAAACAAAATGAAAACAAGATGAAACAGGGTGACTCACTCCAACACTCCCAATTCTAGCCTATAGGAAGAAGGCTATAAAATGAACTGATGATTAACCTATGGATTTCCATGTTTTCATTTTCAGAACTTCTGCCTAGTATTAATAGTATCAAATAGGACCTAATTAGATGTGAACACACACACCTGCTCGTATATCTGACAGAAGAGCAAACCGCTGTGAATGAGCCACAGAGTTATTTTAAAAGTCCTAAAATCAACTGTGAAACAATTAGTGAAGTCAGTTCACCCCATCTCCCACATTCTACTTCCTATCACGTATTTCTATCAGATGATAATAGACAACGATACTCCATCGCCTACCCAGAGAGCACTTACCTCATTGTCTGATTCCACAAGAACTTGATCATATTCACTAAGCGCTACTAGAAACATGATAGAGGTGACATTTTCAAAGCAGTGTATCCATTTTCTTCTCTCTGACCTTTGGCCCCCTACATCCACCATTCTGCAAGGTTAACAATAGTCACATTAATAACATACAAGGAAGAACTAAATTTTAAAAATTAATAAACACAGAACACATACAAACTTAGAAAAAAAAATTCTCAAGACAATGGTTAAGTCATTACAGCTAAGACTTATTGAGTATCTACTAAGTTCCTATTATCTAACATTCAAAGTCAGGATATTCTGGGTAATAAATCATTGTGGTTACTAGAAAATTAACAATGTATATGAAAAGTGAAGCTTTGTAAATGAAAAAAATCCTGGCCAAGCAAAAAGGTATGTTATTAACTACCCATCAACTGGTATATTATGCCCTAATGCAAAACACTGAACTTGTTCTTTGGCCTATGAAATTTGATTTTTGGAACTAGCAGATGGCATAGTGGTTATGTCGCTGGACTCTCACATGGGCAACCATGGTTAAAGTCCCAGACCTGGTGGCTTCAAAATCACACTGAGCATGTGTGCATGCGTGCCCCAGATCACGAAAGGAGAATGGAGGAGAAGGGATTGTGGCTTGGCCATCCCCCAGGAGGTGATTTCTCACTTACCCTCTCACTGTCTCTATTTCTCTCTGGTAAGTGCATGTGCCCTAAGGCCAAAACCTCTTTAAAAAAATTAGGTCTTCATGTATTTCTTGTGGGTGCTAGAAATGACTACGAATACATTTAAAAGACATAAGATGCTATTCATTTCGATAGGGGTAGTTTAATGCTTCAACAGAATGCAAACATGACTCCACTGGTCCTCTGTCAGTAGGGTAAGCACTCTGGGTTATTTTCTTCCTCCCAGGAAAGCTTTGCTGTGTACAGACCAATTTGCTAACTTGCTGAAAATGAAGTGTCACATAAAACACCAAGTTGTTACCAAGTAGTACACAGAAGCCATAGTTCAAACTATTTTAAGTGTGTGTTCCTAGTTTCTTCACTCCTGAATTACTGATTAGTAACCAACCCTGACACCAACTAATTTGAGTGACAATATATATAGGAAAATACCGAGCAGTGCTGGGCACTGAATTAAAGTTTCTTCAAACAGTTCAGTCCTATCTTGACTGTAATGTATACAGTTTTCATGAAATACATATTCTCAGAGGAGGAGAGGTTGAGGCACAGAAGTTGGAAGAGGGCTCTGAAAGCATCAAGCTGAGAACCTGCAGTTACTCCTGGTGTTTTCCTCTCAGCATTCAACCTCCACTCAGAGCTCAAGGAGCTTCGAGTGCCTGCTCTAACGTCTTGAAGGTTACAGAAGAGAGATCTAAGGGACAAAACGAATGGACCCAGGGAGACCTATGAACTAAAGACATCAAAATAGGAATTGTCAGGTCTTTAGAAATACTAAAATGCTGACAGTTCTCTAATGCCACTGTGAATAATACACTACTCATTTATGTCATATCTTCATTCCATGAAATCCTGTCACACTAGGCCCTGCAAGATGCTTTTGATGGTGGCAGGAAATTATACTTCTAAGTTATCACATTTATTGAGGTGGCAAAAATGTCCTTCAAAAGCTAGAGCACAAAACATGGAACAAACAAGTGGTGATAGTAACGTGGGTGCAGAACGTACTAACTGCAAAGTAGTGAGGAGACAAAAATTCCCATGAAATGTTCTGTTTTCTGGAAATATTCTGAAATATGGCTGTAAGAGGAAGGAAATTTGGTGTGTTTCATTATAGATCTCTACATGCTATAAACTCAAAATTCAAGCAATATAGAATGCTGGAACTACAAGGCACCTTCAAGATCATCTCATGCAAACATTTTGTTGATTAAAAACACAAAGACTCAGAAATATTTCCAAAATGTCACCCACATGAAGGTTATGTCTTTTAAAGCAGTGTGTGGCTGGCAGGTTCAACCACAGGTACAGAATCCTTTGCTCTGGCAAGGAGTGATGGAGGGCCCACTGACAAGGGCCACCTGGCAGAGTTATCCAGCAGGCGTTACATAACGTCTACTTCCTAACCTATCAGCATCCAATGTGTCTTCAATGCGATGAGTTCTCCTGAGGACCCAACACTGCACTCCAAGACATAGTCACATGGCTTCATTTCTCACAGCACTGTGCTTTGTATTCTAACCCAAAGTACAACTGAGTGACTGTGTAATAAAAGACTAAATGAACATACATTGGTATTATTTTTTCTCATCTAAAAAACCCCCCAAAAAACGAAAAATTAACAATGCTTCTGTTGAAGTGTTATCCAGACAGAACCGCAGTGGTGAGAGGGAGGCAATACATTTTCATTCTCATTCTATTTTGCTATGCAAATTTAGATTAGGTTAATTAGCCCATTTTCAAAATCATGTCCTTTGAAAAATTTCAAGCAACTTGTTTGATGAATATAAAAACATCACAGGTTTTTATTGCTACTGAAAACTATTGCCGTGGTATCAAAGGACTAGGAAGAGCAATCAACATGACAGTTCTGACAACATCATTTCCACCCTGATAGGACCATAAGGTCGTTTATATCTTATTTTAAAAATACACTCATTGTCCTCATGGACAATGTTGCTAGATTCCAACAAAATTATAGTTAGGACCAATATCTGAGTAACTCATTTTGTTCAGCTACCAACAAACTAAGATTTTATTGATTTATTGGTGATTTAAATTGAAATGAGAAACCTTCTGTATATCTTTCTGCAGCTTCTTCTTACAGGGATACATTGTTCCATTTGTGTATCTAACGATAATAATCACTAGAAAGGCTAGTGATTTCAATATTTATAGAGTTCACAAAATGTACTCAAGCCATAAAAGCTGAAGTAGGTTTTAAGGACTCAGTTACTACCTGAAAATGACACTTTGTAAGTCAAAGGGGTATTCGATGATCCCTGTGGTGGGGACTCGAACTCTAAGCACATCTTGTTGCGTAGGCAGGTATGCAGGGTCAGCTACGCGGTCCAAGTCATTAAGATAGCTGGAGGAGAGAAGGAAGACACAACGAAGAACATCAGTGACATCAGCACAGCAACTTTGGCTATGGAAACAGGTGCATAATGAGCCAGAGGGGGGAAGTGAAGAAAAGACACTCCTCTATTACCTAGAGGAAGGTTACCCATCTATGGAATACCTACTTACTACATTTCTTATTTCTTCTCTATTAATTAGAACTCATGCCAAAAATAAAGGGGGGAAGAAAAGAAATGGGAATTCAAATTAGTTTCCTACCTTCTATTTGTTTATCAAGTCTGGTTGGTAAAGCAGGAGTTTAAAACAAATGGTTTTTAAATTATTTACACAAATTTGTTTATTCATGCATTGACAATATGCAGACACACGTGTATATAGGTGTGTAGATGGACATGCATGTGTGTGTATGAATACATACTGGCTCATCAGGAATGTCATGATGCATTTTTGAATAGAAAAATACATCATGACTTTTCATAGTTCTATGAAATTTGATCCCATGTAGAGATTCCAACTATCAAGACACCGAACCATCACCATAAAAAAACTGCCTTGTGCTATCTCTGCCCACCCTACCTCTTGACTATCACACATACCCACTATCCCAAAATCTTTTATTCTAATCACTTTTCAGTCTCTCAAAATGCAAAAATATATACGCAAATTTAATTTGTATAAATAAATATAACTTGTATAAATATGCAGATAACAAGAGTCATACATAAAGTCAAGATACATTATTTTATTCCCTTTTAATAGAGTATCAGTCTTTATCTGGAATGAATTTTCTTATTCCCTAAGAGAAGACAACAGGATACCATGTCCTAAATTCTGTCCAAAGCCTAAGTCATCCATGATCAACAGCCATGAGATTTCTAGTTACTGCAGTAATAATGTCTAAGGTCAGATATTCCCAATGTTTAGTCACTATACTTTAATTTATCTGGTTATAGGCCAGTTTGCCATTCCCTTAAAAAAAATAAACCTTTTTATTTTAAGTAATTTTAAACTCATAAGCAGTTGCAAAATATTACAGAATTCTGCTGTACCCTTCACCCAGCTTCCCCCAGTGAAAACATTTCACATAACCAGAGTACATTAATGTAACCAGGAAACTGACTTTGACACTGTTGACTAACCTACAGACTTCATTTGGATTTCACCTACTGTCACACGCATAAACACACAAATGTTTGTTTATGGAAATATGTGTATGTATATATTGAGGATATATGGTTCTATGAAATTTGATCACATGTAGAGATTCCAACTATCAAGATACCTAACCATCACTACAAAGAAACTGGCTGTGTCTTCTCTGCCAACCCTACCTCCTGGCTGTTACACATATGCAGTTCTAAACTGTCGTACTCTCTTCGCTTTTCATTCTCTCAGAGTTCAAAAAAGTGATGCTGAGAGTGACCTAATTTGAACTGATGAAAACCCAGTAAAAATGACTGTTCTATGCAGTATCTTAGTAACTTCAAAGAGCTCTCCTTCCCCCTGGAGAGGATGGGACATAGACATGGTTTCAGAATACACAGCTTCAAAGTTTATACACAAAATAAGTAACTTATGAGTAAGATTTAAAGAAAATGTGGAACCATTGACATAATTGGAAGGAGTTAGACCGTCAGGTCTTTGCCCCCAGACAAGAGAAAGTGAGTACTCAGATACGTAACAGGGAGTGTCTGGTGCACAGCATGGTATAACTTGGCAATAACACCAAAAAACTCAGGTGACAGGACCTACCTAAGTTTGGGCCTCTACCTTCCTCCTTGACCTTTCTTTTTTTTTCTTTTTTCTTTTTTTTTAAATTTGAGAGAGATTTTTACTATAGGGTGCATGTGCTCACCAGAGAGACAGAGAAAGACAGAAAGTGAGAAATCACCCCCTCCCAAGGGGGAAGGCCATGCAATCCCTTCTCCTCCATTATCCTCTCTGGATTTTGGGCACGATGTATACATGCATGGTGTGAATTTCAAGCCACGGTGTCCAGGATTCAAATCGCAGTCACCTACATGGGAGTCTACCAACGTAACCATTACACGATCTGCTGGTCCCACTCATTGTTATTTCTACCTTAGTACTAAAAGTGTGCCGAACAGCACTTAGCAAATATTTGCAGGATGGACAGATGGATTTCTTACGCTAAGATTTAGTCTTATAGTCATAGCATGATTTAAATGCCATTCTTACTAGTAGTGTTTCCATATGAATAATATCCTTAAATACAAATCTGAAAGTTATAAAGAAATATAACATTGAGTCTATGAGATGCAGAAAATCATAAAGTAGTAGGGCTAAACCTGACTTTTACAATGAAATTACTGCCTCTTTGGAAGTCTATCAGTTCTTTAAGATGAAAATGTATCAGCTATAAACTCCTACTACAAAGCAACAAATTCATATTCTAGGGGGCCTCATCCCAGAAACATCAAGGATGCTCAGAGGACAATTAGCTCTCTACTAACTAATAGAAATCAGCCCGATATCCTTTTTTGTTTTTTTTTTGGGGGGGAAGAGATTTTTGCTATAGGGTATGTGTGCTCACCAGAGGGACAGAACACAAGAAATCACACCCGGGGGAAGGGGAAGAGGGGGGAAGGCCAAGCTGCAATCTCCTCCATTCTCCTCTTAGGATTTTGGGCACAAACACACACCATACCCAGCATGAGTTTCAAGCCTCCAGGTCCAGGATTCAAACCGCAGTTGGCCACGTGGGAGTCTAGTGTTGTAACTATTACGCCATCTGCTGGTCCTGATACCTTTAATATTATAAAATTGGCTGGAGGATTAAGAGGGAAACGTTGGAGGGAATGTGGGTGTGAGAGGCAGGATAGAAGTGCAAAAATGGACTGGACCCCAAAGTTTAGTAACTATTCTTGTACAGTCTTGGAGTTATCTGATGGGGTGAACAAACCCATGTTTGGGCAGTTGATCTGTAGCTCCTCACATCACATACAAAATCAAGTAGCTACTCTGTATAGATGGAGTTTTCTAATTTATCAGCTCCTTGATTTGAAAACCTGAAGAAAGAAAGAAAAAAAAAAACAACTTTAAACTCATACTGGTAAGCCTGCTCTGAAATATGTTACCCAATAACCCATATCTACTTACTGAGCACCACGCACAGAGACCAGACAGAGGGGCTGTTCATTCTTGAACACAATTGTGGTGCTCCTGTGTTAAAGAATCTAGTGGCTTTCTGTTTGCTAATCATGAATCGGATTACTCATTGCCACTCCATTTAAAGCACGGATGTGTTTGAACAGGAGCATTTAAAGAACCAGGACACAGAGCTGGAAATTACCCTGTTACATTGCACAGTGGGAATTTCGGTACTTTCCATTTTAGGTAGAAGATCTGAGCTCCCTAGAAAACATCCTCAGGTGTGAGGAAAACAGGATAAACACCTGCAGCTGAAACTCACAAGTGCCCAGAGGCTACCCTAAGAAAATCGTCAGTGGGATCTCTTCGTGAATCCAGGGTATTACAGAGATGTTCGCTGAATGTCTACATCCCACATGGCCAACTCTGTGATTCGAGTCCTGGACTCAGCCCCTTGAAAGACATGTCGGGTGTGTGTGCATGCATGCCCGAAATCCTGAGAGGAGAATGGAGGAGAAGGGATGCAGCATGGCCATCCTCCCTTGGAGGTGATTTCTTACTTTCCCTTTTTTAGTGTCTCTCTCTCTCTCTCTCTGGTAAGTGCACAGGCTCTATAGCAAACAACAAAAACAAAAACCCAACAAACAAAAGAAAAACAAAAACTACACATTCCTCTTCATCTTGATTTTGCTCCTTTTTGATGGCTATATATATATAACCATATATCTCATAAAGATTAATGGCATAACAGCAACAGCTCATATTGAGTGCTTACTGAATGCTGACTCTATGTGTTCCTTGCCCAAGTATTAACATATTTCATGGCAAGGAAATGGTCATTAAAAATGTTCCATACACTTCTGTTGAATTTAGAAGCAAACTACAGTTCTTGCTTGATACCGCTTTTACTTTGCATCAGTTGGAAGATGGAGAGAAAGACTCACTTCGCTTGGGGCAAAAAAGTTACATTCATCTAGTACTTTTTCTTTCTTTAAGGTTTTATTTATTTGTTTATTTATTTTACCATAGGACACATGCACTTGCCAAAGAGAGACAGAGAGAGAGAAAATGAGAAATCACCTCCCTCAAGGGGGCATGGCCATGCCACAATCCCTTCTCCATTCTTCTCCTGGGATTTTGGGTACACATAGACATGCGCCTGGCATGAGGTTCAAGTAGCTGGGTCTAGGACTCGAACTGTAGTTGGCCATGTGGGAGTTCCGTGCTGTAACCACTATGTTACCTGCTGGCCCTAATCTAGCTTAACAAAATAAAAAAAGCTGAAAGGGACTGTATCTAGCTCTGCTAGATGCAACTCACATCATCTAGAACCAAAATTAAACCCAAAGGAACCCAAGACGAGGCAAAGAAAAACAAAACAACATATCCAACCGCATCAGAGACATACACACTATTTTCTCCTAGAGGTCTGGGTGTCTCCAAAGCTACACAGGACAGAAGATATGCTGCAGGTGATTTACGAAGCCAGTAAAACATATTGACAATCAAGAATTGCATTTTTCAGTGTCAAAGAAGGGCCAGTGTAGAGAGCTTCTGCTTGCAAAGTCCCCAAGTCCACACCACCACCACCACCACCACCCCCACCCCCCAGCTCATAGCACCTTCCACATTTCACATTTGCTTAGGGAAAAAAGCCACTCGCCTCCTTCGAAATATAGTTTCAGCATCCTAAGACTGGTGCATCCACACTTGTTGATCCTTGTCACATTTGAGAAAAGGTAATAGAATAACCGTTCAGCTGAACTGCACTTTCTCCTGAAGCAGTTCCTATTCTGAGGAAAAACTTTGGTGGAATATGGGGGAGGGGTTCCTGCTGGACAATTCCATTCATTTCAACTTTGACAAAGCGACATCAAGGTCTGAACAAATTTATAT